TTTTCCTTATATTCCAACTGCATGTTCTTTTCCCATCCTTTGTGCTAGCAGTAAGCTCTGAGCTGGTCCTGCCACCTTCTATCCATGAAAAGTCTTTGCTTTTCAGTCTGGTCAGGCCCTTTGATCTACTTGCTTGGAGATCACGAAGCTGCTTGTGATGATACAGACAAGGGGCAGCTGAGGTCTCAGCTGGCTTAAGTTTCCCCAGATCCGTCTTACAGCAGCTCAGGTAGGAGGGGAGAAATCCTCTGGTGTGGAGAGAAGACCCACCACTGGCCCCTTTGGGGGAGGCAGCCCCCAGTCTGGGCAGCTCTGCTGACGAGCTGGGGAAGAAGGTAGTTGGCCATGCAAGAAGTTCTCCCCCAAGATCTGATGCCTCCACCCGCAGAACAGGAGTTTTGGTTATTTTTCCATATAAAAGTAGATGTGGGGAGAGGAAATCGTAGCCCACTCTCAGCTATTCTGATTGTTGCAGCGTGCCACCACCCTTCCTCATCACCCATGTGCATTATTTTTAGGGTTTGTTTGCCTCGCTTAACTCCAGCTCGTTCTTTCTTAGGGTGACAAAGACTTCCCTCCTGCAGCTGCCCAGGTGGCACATCAGAAACCACAGCCGTGCCTGGAGAAGCTTCCTCTTCACTGTCCTATTAATCAGTTCATTCACCAGCGAGTGATGGGAAGCAGCGCCTGGGACAGCACAAGAAGAGAGAGGACAAACCAGTGCCTGCTGCGAGATGGGCGGGAGCAGCTCCATTTACTGAGGCCTCATTCCAGTTTGCCTCCCCCTAATTCCACTTTACCTCCCGCCCAGCCCACATCCATTTGGCACTGAGGGCTTTTAAACCGTAACTTAAAAATACACACTAGCACACGTGCATAGATAAAGAACTAGCAGGGAAGGAGAAATTATCAGCGGCGATACTTTATTTGGAGCGATGAGGAGGCCAGGGCTTCTGAGTGATGAAGAGGTTTCCCACAATGACTTGGAGCAGGGGTTGCAGGAATCTGCTGGAGTCCACGTGGCCATGGCTAGGTGGTAGATGTCCCTCCTGCTTTTGATGTAGTTTATTGCAGACCAGTGGCACCTTTCTGCAACGAGGGCCAGGCTTTATTAATTGACTTTTAATTGACTTTTTAAAGAAGATTTAAACCTGAGCTTGGTCCTAGCTCCCTAGTGAACTGTAAAAGGAAACTTCTTTCTCTGTGTTGCTGGTGAAGGGTACTAAAATGGGTTAAATCCATCTTGGAAGTGCTGCTTTTTTTCTGTACTAGAAGCTGTGTGATATGCTTGGGATATTTGTGTGCCTAAGGTGTGACCTTGGGTGGTTGCTTGGTGGGCTGAGTTTTCCTGGTTTAAATCAGGGTTGTGAGCTGGAGTTTCTGTTTTCTTAAAATTCAGGAACTTGCCTGTTTATAAAGCTTGGGTCACAGCCACCTCTGAGAAGTGTAGGGA